AAAACTTTAAATTTACACTTTCTAAGGCATTTGATTAATAAAAGCTTCAAATGTGGGAGAGGAGTTTGATTTGGGATTTACTTTCCGCTTGCCGGTTCTCTTTCTCGAAGTAGTGATTCTCGTATCCGAAATAATATCCAATTTTACAATTATTCTCTCATTACATCTTATTTGCTGCCTCATATATTTATTTTTGAAACCAATTTTTATGATTTCAAATACCTGTAAGGAACACTTTAAATGGTAGTCAGAGAGTTTCTTTAACCGTCACGCATTTTGTTTTGGTTAACATCGCTTGAAACTGGAATTTGAATAATAAAAAATTTGAAGAGGTTCCAATTTTTCAGCTTTTAAAGTGAAATTATTTTTTGCATGGCAGAATTGATGAAAGAGTGTAAGAAGATTTGTTTAAGCTCTTCAAAACTTTTCGTTCAATGGATTTTTACCAAGTGTTTATGATTTTTATCTTATGTTTAAAATTCACATCTATTCATGACTCATTCCTGATGAATATTTGATGGGTTTGTCTTTGCATCATTGGAGAGAGAGCTGAGACTTTCTGGGAAAGATATCAGTTATGCTTCGATCTCGGTGTACCACTCCCTCCGATTCCGGTTTCTCTGCAGAGGTCAGATCAGAGGTGCTTACTGAGTTGGCATCTGTCATCACACGAGCTGCAACGATGCTATTGATGACGTCACAGTGAGTGTGTCTTAACGTAGCGAAATCGCCGTATAGGGCGGACGTCTCGCTGAATTTATACAAAAATTGCCGGACCAAATCAAATCGTTCTTTTCTTTCATCTCCCAATTTTGATCGAAGACGGAGCAATGATAAAAGCATTCCATTTGAAATGCTCCAAACCTGTATTTTGAAGAGATAAACTTTTGAATATCGGAATTGAACACCGTGCAAAACTTGATTTGAAAATTAGGAAAGAGAGAGAGTGTGTGTGAGAGTGAGAGTGAACGAATTGAGCATGCTTAGAAAGAGATATGAAAGAGACACAGAGTTGGAGACATTGAAATTGAAATAACAAGGTTTGCACACACATTTGGAATAATAAGCCGTACAATTGTTGGTTCCGATCCGATATTCATTGATGCACGTACATTGTGGAACCTATTTTACAAGCAAACAAAAATCACTCTCCCGTCCTCGCACTCTTCCACAAGACGACATTAAAAGTGAACCAGTGGTGATCCTAACGGAACATCCGCTCCATCTCACCATCCTGTGAAGAGAAGAGAGAATGACCATTATCAAGGGGACAACGACATGTCCTGAGCTGAAAGACCATTGTCCAGACCATACATCATGTGGGAGCGATAGCTATTGCAGCACATCAGGTTTTCTAGACCCACCATCTCTCCTTCTGAAGGGCTCGCTCTCTGTTCCATCCATGCTTCTCCTCTCACGGTGTTTCGTTGTTTGAAGTGAAGTAGCCAGTGCTGTTAGTGGAACTTCAAGGCAGTTTATTGGGCTTCTGCACCTTCCCAAGTGAATGGTACCACGAATAATCGACATTCTGAAGTGATACGGTATCGCTCACCGATGAACAGTTTCGTATGCAGGAGCCTCGCCAGGAGCCTTTTGCTTTTTTCTTCACTCTTCGGTCCTATCCAGGTAAGCCTGAAGGTAATCACATAATTATGATCCATTCATCACTGCTCATGATAGTTTGCTGGAAAACAATTTCGTTTTACTTTATCCTCAAAAAACGAGAAGACAATGAAACATTATATATTTACCAGTATCAGTGCTTGCTTAGCGAACGAAGGTCAATGGGCTGCTCTTTCCAATAACTTCTTCAATTTACTTATTGAAATTAAAGTGCCTTAAAAAAGAGTGCATTTATTCAGTTTTAACCATCGAAAAGATGTTTTTTATTTGCAGAATTTTCATCATCGTTTAACGAAACAAGAACTGAAACGAATTTTCGCTGTATCGCATCACAGAGACGTGCCGGAATATGCGCTTATCGACGTAAACAGAAGTGAACTCAGTGACGGAACTACGCATTTATTATTCGATGCTTGGGATCAGAAATTCCACGTTGATCTTAAGCCTAATCTCAAACTACTCAGTCCTCACCTGGTGAGTCCTCTCAATGATTCATTACTACCTTAACCGCCTTCTATTAGCGCCCATTTTTCGTATAAGAGCGAGAAGGAAAAATATAAAGTTGCTTTTGTATCGGTGGTTCTCCGATAAACAGTCGCCGCCCGCAGTCCATTCTTCATTTAGCGATTGTTAAGCGACAAAATAGCGTGATGTTTCTCGTGCTCTCCGTCAAGGAACGCTTGAAAGCTTCTTTGAATATCTCTTCTGTTGTCAGTAAGTCGTAACATGAGGCTGCGCTTCTCCCTTATTGAGGGATTTTTTCATTGCGTTGTTTGAATGAGAAGGAGCAGTTGTTGAGTTGTGAGGAGAGAGGATGTTTTCCAGCATCTTCACGGAAGTAAGAACACGTCACAGAAGGTGATCTCAGTGATAATGAGGAAGAGAAAATCTTTCTCGACCAGAAGGAATGAGGGAATGGAACCGTCCTGAGTCTTGTCATACAATCCAGTGATTTTGGGACAGATTTGTAAATGAATTAAAACAGATCGACGTGCTTTTTTAAATTGATTTATGCAAATTAAAAATCAATTAGAGAATTTCAAGTGATACTTCCGCTTGTATTATTTGGAGATAACAAATTTTTTGTGAAAGATCTGCATTATGGATTGCCTAATTTTAAGCGGATAGAAAATTTGGTATTTGACGCTGATATTTGGAAATCTGTATTGTGGTGCAACAACTATTTTGCGAATAAAATATTTCAAAAATGAAGTTTTCGAAATCTTATCTGTGAAGAGAAAATTTAACACAAGGAACTAAATGAAGGCTTGAACTTTCAATGATGAAGTAAGAAGGAAACAATTTCGAAAAATATACTTGGATATCAAAAAATTTAATGATCATTTTCCGAATACTTTTGCTGATGATTATTCATATACACATAAATAAAAGAATTGAATTAACTCCGTCACTTGAAAGTTTTGGTAACAAATGAAAGAAACTGACTTCATCGAAGACAATTTCAGATCTCAGTAGTGCGTGACGGCAAAAAGAGCTGGAAAAGTCGAGGATTACCGGCTCATCTGAAAGCAGACTGTCACTTCCACGGGAAAGTGCTGTCGCACAACAACGTTTCGGCGGCGATATCCTACTGCGACTGTCTGACAGGTGCCATTATAATGGATGATCATTTGCTCTTGTTACAAACAGTTCCGCAACGACTTAGATACGTCCATCAGGTATGCGGCATTATCATGTCAATCTTGCGACGTCTTATAAAAACTTGCAACCTCTATATGTTCCATTGAAGCTCGGAAGTGTCACATCCTCGATTAACGGAGACATGAGTAGACGCCTGCTTGCTCTCAGGTGTGCGGAAAGAGAATCATTTCAGGTCAAACAACAACATATCATATATAAACGCGAAGTTGGTCAGCTTTCTAACTTGGAATATACATTGGAGGAACACTTATCAAAACTAAACGAGCAGTCGATCGAGGAAGAATTTTGTGACATCAGTAAGTTGGTTGATGATGCGGCTGGCATGTTCGATAAAGCTGATAAAGCTGTCATTGCTGTCACTGCAATCAGAGCTGCTGCAGGTTCGCTTATGCCAACTGAAATTTGAATGAATTTTTTGTTCTGATATGGAACATCAGAACAGGATCACTAAATGTCAGTCACATGCATGCATGCTAACCGTTTTGCAGAAATTTTCATTTTTCCGCTTGCCTTTCTTTCATCTCAGCAGAATCAATATAAGCAAGTTGTTCACTGCGAAATCTTATTCGTACATTATATTTGACGTACGAGCTACAAACGTCTTACGTTATATGCACGTCTCCTAACACTCAAGATGGACCATTTTTCTGCATTCTTAACGAACAGGCGGCTATGTACCAACGAACCTTCGAAATTTATTTCTTTCGAATGTGATTGAAATCAAGAAATTAGTTCAAAACTAGATGCCTGAAGAAACTATTTGTGCGTTTTTTCTTGCTGAGAAACTTGATCGATAGAGAAACAGAATTAAATTAAATTTGATAAAGATGAATTTAATTCTACATGTGTTGTTGATAGTTGATCCGGGCTGGTATCAATAGGAAGTGCTATCTGCAAGAAATGAATGACACGCTTCGCATCGCAGCAGCATCTGCCACCGCTACTAAGCTCGATTCTGCGCTCTGTCTGCATGGTGGTTTGAGTTAGCTTCTGTATTCATTTAAGCTGGTAACTTTCCGTAACCTTCTAAAATGGGTAGCTTGCAGTTTTTGTCGGAAATTATGCGTTTGTTAAACAAAAAAATGAAACAGTGAATGAAAGTTACAGCGGAAGGATCAACGTTCAACTACACAATGCCCGCAGAGGGTAATCTCGACTCACTTTTCATCTTCCCACAGTTGGATCCGATAACCTTGGAAATTGGACTTTTTCTGGATTCCAAACTCTATGAGCATTTCCAACGTGAATACATCGGTGATCCGGAACAGCATTTGGTGGATTTTTCCCTTGCTTTGATCAACAATGTACATGTCCTTTATCAGCAACCATCAATGACCCCAAATCTGGACATTGTCATCGTGCGATTTGAATTGTGGAAAAAACAACCGGTATCGTTTTTTTGAAATTATAAAATTAATATTCATCTTCAACTTACTTCATTCATTAAAACTTGTTAAACTTATTCAGAGCATGATGTGTTTAAATTAGTTGAATGTTGTGGAGTGCTAGAAGATAAATTCTTTTCCTGATACTTATACAGTCTAATCAGACTTTCCTCATTGAGCAACGTTTGAAGTGTACATGAAACATATTACGTGGAGTAACAAAAACCATTTCAGTTGTTTTCGTTAAATAAATAATTTAATCACTTATGAATGCTGCATTTTAGACTGCACTTGATACATTAGCACATCGGAACGGACAAGCGCAGATACTGTTGAATCTGTTTTGTCGTCATCAGGCAATCCTCAATCCCGGGACTGATTTGACCGATCCGGAGCATTGGGATCACGGAATTCTTCTTACCGGGTTTGTCATCTCTTTATGCCTTCAACCTTTTCAATGAGTTATTTGATCCTCGTATTTTTTAATTTTCTAAAACCTATCCAGTTCTTGTATTTGGAAAACTCTATAAACTTTAAAAAATTCAAATCATATAATTATAGTTTCAGAAAAAGTGAAACATTAAAAAGTGTTTGAAAATGAAGGACATCACAATGATTTCTCTAGCGAGGCTCAATTATGATTTTTCCTCGTTGCTTTCATTTCAAAAATTATCCTTTCATCCCACTCTGCGGAATTCAGATAGAACGGATCTCTCAGTGGTCCGTGCTCCGAGCAACATTGCAAAATACATGCCTTCCTGAACATTTTTTCTGATTGAAAAATGATCACTTCAAGCACCACAAAATGATTACTTCCATTAGCATCCATCAATGTCATCTCCAACAGAGCAAAAAAAAATTGTTATTCAAAATTTCTACATTGTGAATTTCCAAACTTAATTTAATTTCAACAATGGTAAAATGACTTTGTAATGGTGAATTACAAAGTACAGTGAGCGCAATAAGTCTTTGCTATGATTGTAAGTGATTTAAGCATGTGTTAATGACAACAAACAGTTAATCCCGCCAAGGATGAGATTTTAAGATTGCAGCTGTTCATGAAATGAACTTTACAGAGTTGTGAGAGAGGTAAGCTATAACATTAATAATATTGTAGAAGGTGAATCAGAAGCGGTTTGGAAATAATTTTGAAATTGTTACAGATATGACATTTATCACACAACGACATCGGTTGCGGGCGTTGCACCTGTGGCACGAATGTGTGATGAGATATTCGCATGCAGCCTGGTGGAGGGAATGCATCTTGGCCGGTCATTTGTTCTGGCTCATGAAATGGGGCACAAGTAAGTTTGTTCTCCTTGAAGCTAGAGTAGCATCATCTTTCCCTATATGGTTTGGAGTAAAAAGAAGTGGTGATTCCGTGACTCGGAACAAAGATTCCAACACATCTCTGGAAGGTCATTTCATTCCAGCATGGGTATGGTTCACGATGGGATTCAGAATCAGTGTAGCCGAAGTTGCTGTCTGATGTCGGCAGTGAATGGCGCTGGAAAAACCACCTGGAGCGAATGTTCCGTGCGTGAATTCAATGCATTCTTATTGCACTTGGAGTAAGTGTGAATTCATTCTTAAAATTGGCTTCGAAAAGCTTTGTGTGATCAATATTATTGCAAGTCTTTTACCGTACTGTTAGTAGCAAATTGTTGATGCTTCGTTTGCAGTGAGAGTGGTCGCGGTAACTGTCTGCGTGACGGATCAGAAGGACTTTTGATTTATAATCACATGAAGGATGGCCGCTTACCTGGACAACGCTTTACAGCTGACCAGCAGTGTTCTTATTTTTGGGGCAGAGATTTTGAGGTTGAAATACCGAAACAAAAGACAATGGATGTTCGATTTTCCTTACATTTTCATAATTGATAAAGACCGAAACCGATCTTTCTTAAAATGAAAATAACGAATTTTCCGAACTGCTGAACACTTACCCTTTCTCTCTCAGGATATCTGTCGCATACTTTGGTGTGGAAACGATGGCTCCACAATATCAACAGCTCATCCTGCATTGGAAGGAAGCTGGTGTGGCGGTAACAAGGTATGGCTCGAGCCGCGCTCTTTTCTTCCAACTCTCATTCCTTTCCTTATCAATTTTATGAAGCACAGCGAGATGAGAACTGCAGTGGATCTCATCAACAATGTGCTATTGCAGTTCTGCATTGAAGGCCAGTGTCGGCAATGGCCACAACGAACAGCTCCTGCCAAGATAGATGGTGGCTGGACCGAATGGAGTAGTAAGGAAAAACGATGTCCCATCAATCAATGCCAAATAACGGATAGTATCCAAATTAAGAGTCAGATGCGGACATGTACCAGACCTGCGTTAGTTTCCGGAAATCATTTGAGATGGCTTGCTCACTCACAAATTTGTACTATGAAATTTCATTTTCCTATTTATTTGAAACCGAGTGTAAGACAGATAACACCAGTCTCATCTTTCACTTCTTTTCGTTGGCTTCATTTTCTCTTTCAAAGTTACTTTTTAAGGCCTAACAATGGTGGTAGAAAATGTGTAGGCTCCAATATACGTGGCTTAATTTGTGGTAGTGTGAAATCAAGTTGCAAAGCGATGACATTCTTAGAATATGGTACCAAATTATGTACAGCAATAAAAAATGATCAAGAAAAGCCGGACCGTCAACTTACCGGTGCTACATTTCTTCGTATGTTTTTCGGGAAGTTTAAGCCGTGAGGACCGATTCATTGTTCATACTGTTTTAAACGGTTGTAATTTCTCGGGAAAATTGAATCGAAATTGTTTAATTCGTTGAATTTCTTTTTAAGTAGAGATTGTTCTATCCAAAAGTGTGATGCAAGCAAGATTTCTCTCACTTCATGTCTACTTTGCAGACAGTACACAGCCATGTAAAATCTGGTGTCACTTGGTTGATTCGGAACTGATCCGAAATAAGGGTCACTATCCGGATGGTTCACCCTGCGGGCATGGACGATTTTGTGTTGGAGGGAAATGCTTGGTGAGTGGTCAGTGGTTTCTGTTATGAAATGCACAACTCCTTTGAGAACTGGAAGAACTTCGTTGCAGACAGTGATGTGTAATAATAAAGCCGTCGTGGAAAGCAGGGAAGACTGTCCCGAGAATGATCAGGAATGGAGTGAATGGAGCGGATGGTCTGAATGCTCAGTTTCTTGCGGTTCTGGTGGAAAGGAACAACGAAAGCGAATCTGTCATTCGGTATGCTACTGCACTTTCAGGAGTTGAAGAAGTGTCAGAAAAGAAAATTCGTTTTGAAGAGTGTAAATAGCGGACATTGCAGCAGAGATGTGTCGGTGAATCAGTGGATTCTCGATCATGTCTTCCTGAAGTACCGTCTTGTCCGGAGCCGGAAAAGTGGAGCGAAGAGGGGGTGCACATTTGCAATTGTTCCAAAGAAGGAAGCGAGTGCGGCAAGGTGACATTACCGTTTGTTGTTTCACTAACAGTGAGCTGTTTACTCCCTCCACTTTTTAGCTGATCGCAGCAATTTCAGGATAGCTGTTCCGAGTGGAATGAGTGGGAATTGTGGTCTCCTTGCAGTGTGAGCTGTGGTAGTGGACAGCGGAGTAGGAAACGGCACTGTGGTGGGCCCAATGGATGTGAAGGTGAAGGCACCCAAATTGAGCCTTGTGAGGTTGCTAAGGTTGCTCTTTTCTTGTCCTTTACCTAATTCAGTTACCATTTTGAAAGAAATAAATGGTATTGGACGAAGCACACGTGCTGCTTTCTTTACAGTTAACTTCTATTTCCTTCATAACTTTTCAATTCGGTAATTGTTTTCCAGAAATGCATATTGGAAATATGGGGTGATTGGTTGCCTTGCTCGGCATCATGCGGGTTGGGTTTTCAGTTACGTGAGCGTTTGTGTGATGGATCGTTGTGTGCTAGTGGACAAAAGCAGGCTAGAACGTGTAATGAGAAAGTTGGTTTATTTAATTGATTGCATGGCACATTTTTAACTTGAATTGAAATAAAGTGATTTACAGATTGAATCTTGGAATGTGAAAGGTCAGCTATTTCAATTTTAATATTTACGTCTGATATTCAGCATTATTGTTTGGTCGCTTTACTCAATTCGTACTAGTTTGGGGAGTTGCAGGACTGCAGTAATGGTGGAGCATTACTGCAATTGTGGAGCGACTGGTCCGACTGGTTGTCCTGTTCTGCCTCCTGTGGTGAAGGTATACAAATCAGAGTCCGGAAATGTATTACGGGTTCGTTCTTTCGGTCGATAAAAGTGAAGAGATTTAGTGGTCAAGACACACTGATATAGTGTACCTTGGAGAGTACTGCTGTACGAAGATCTGTTGAACTAATGTGTCTGATCTTTCAGAGAGGTAATTGTGAATCTTTGCAGGGAATTGTCTAAAATCGGATTCAGCAATTGATCAGCGACGCTGTGTTTTACGTCCATGTCCCGAATGGACTACATGGAATGATTGGAGTGATTGTTTAACTTGTGAACATAAGGAAGCACGATATCGTAACCGACATTGTCGAATAGGCCTGATACGAGCTGGTGATGATGGACGTGAATGTCCTGGTACGCTGTCCTTCTTTTAACTGAAGGGGAAGTGAGAAGTGACTTGCTGACATTCGTGGTTTAGGTGAAGCGAAAGAGACAGAAACTTGCGATGTTGCATGTGAAGCATTGGCAAGTACAGGCGACAGGAAATCACATCGCAAAGTACTGTCAGATCGTATTGAAGCGATGATTAATCCGGATCCGGGAGCAAAAGCGCTGGCCGTATGGGATGAGTGGCAAGAGTGGCAGCCATGTGCGAACATGCACACCTGTGGTACAGATACTCGCATAAGGTTGGAAAGTTGTCAATTCGACTGTTTTGCATTTTTAGCAGATTCCTCCCATCTGTCACCTGCACTGCAAACGCAATTGTTAATGGTGGCTCTAACTGCGACAACAAACTTTTAGAAATTTTTCTTTCAGGAAACGTATTTGTCGAAATGGTATTAATTGCACAAAAGGAGAATCAATTTTAGATATTCAGTTATGCAACAATAACTCATGTCTTAATTCCGGTGAATTATCCTAGTTATTTTATGAGCCACTTTTACTAAAGAGGGTTGGTGGCAGCAACAATCATTCGGTTCTTCTAAACTAAGACACTTCTATAAGAAAGTAACCACTTTTTAGTAGAATTGTAATTAAATTCGTTTATTGTTCAAATAAAGAGTAAATAAATGTTCGAGGTGTCGTGAGTATACGACAGGAGAAGGTATATTTAGGCCCAGTGCTAAAGCTATGAAGTTATACTTCATCTCATGGTAACTGTATGCCATTCCGAGTGAAATTCGCCTCACCTTGCTTATCCTCTTTAGAAATTCAATTTCCTCACGGAATTTCTAAAGTATGCATTCAGAATGTTACTGTGAAGTAGCTGTATCTTAAAATTAATTCCATCAGCTAATTACTAGAAGAATGTAAGATTTTTTAGCATTACTAAAGGAGGTGAAATTTTCGGAGGATAAAGGTGTAGTTCAAGACAGAGGGAGAGAGAGGGCTGGTAATAATTTGGTAGAGAATGGAAGGAAGTTCTATCACCGACGACATTTCCAGATGTTTTTAAGTTTGAAGTTTGACATTCTCCCAGATTATTGCTAGAATTAATAAGCTCTCGTAACATTATAAACATGTTGAAAGAATAGAAGGGATCCAGTGAGAAAGAAGTTCAGTTGGAAGTTAATGTTGAAATTGTCGAGAATTCACAGTTCCACAGCATAGAAATTGTTAGGAGTGGTAGCGTGTTGGTTTTGTTAAGCTTTGGCAACCGAGCATGGTGCATTTTGTTCAACAGTGAGTTGAGCCCGTGGTCAGAGTGGTCATCCTGCTCAACTTCTTGCGACGAAGGCCTGCAAGTCAGATTTAGGAAGTGCAAGGCATCATTTGTGTTCCTGTGCAGTGAAACATTGGTGGAAGAGCGATCGTGTAATAATGCACTCTGTCCAGATGGCTTATCCACAGTTGCAAGCTCTTCGCAATTTGTAAGGCTCTTGTTATGGTTCTGAGGACCTCGTCCCGAGAGAAAGCAACATTTGTTAGTGAAGGGTTCTAAACTGCACACTTCAATCACATTTTAAATTTTATGAAAGCAAGCAGTGATCTTGCAAACGGAAGATCAAAATCGAGCTCCAATTTGATAATTGCAGTGCCTAACTGGAGCCAGTGGAGTAAATGGTCACGTTGCAGCTGTTTCTCAATGAATCAATTCAGACGACGATTTTGCCAAATTGTGGAGCCATCACTGCAGGGATTTTGCGTCGGTTCTATTTTGGAGAAGAGAAGATGTACTCCGCATAGATGTCGTATGTGTTTGTTTGGAGTTTATTCCATCCAGCCAGCCACTATCATGAACTTAAGATCTGCGATTATGTTTCAGTTTCTGAAAGTGGTGATTGGTCTAGCTGGAGTGAGTGGAGCTCGTGTTCAAGCAGCTGTGGAACTGCTGGTCATCAGATCCGAAGCAGAATGTGTTCTAACCCAGTGCCTTCTAACAGGTTTCGCATTTCCACTCTCTACTTCATCTCCTTGTTCCCACAACCAAAATTTCCGAGTACCACTCGCATGGATGAGAGAGAAATCTACCGTTTCATCAACCTGATGTTAACCGCTTTCCTTCCTAGTAATGCCGATATAGGCAAGAGGATGATTTTAGAGGTTCATACTGCACCGGTTCCTCGTTTGATCAACGGCATTGTGTACCAGAAAGGGCCTGCGTTAGGACGCCAATTAACGGGGAGTGGACATCATGGTCTGAATGGTCCCAATGCTCCGATTCCTGTGACAATGGTCATCGATCCCGAACAAGGTAACATGGAATTTTGATAATGCCTCTTAACTTTATTTGAGATGTGATCACATGATCACAATTTTAGTGATTCAATTCAATTCATATATAGAAGTTCCTTCCCTGTTCCACTGTATCGATTCTTTTTTCAGATTTTGCTCAGATCCTCGTCCATCGGAAGGTGGCTTGCAATGCATTGGCTCAGATTTTGAAATAACTCCATGCAACAATATGTCGAGTTGCCTTCAGTGTAGGTTTATCAAATCAAGAGAGTATCAAGAGCTTATCACTTCTACTGTCCTTCGAAAGGCGCATGCTTAAAGAATAAGTCAAACGCTGCTTGCATGCAGTCCTTTCTGAACGTGCGTCTCTATAGAGAGAACACATTTCAAAGTCGCTCATCAGCACGTACGTAAGCAAACAGCACGTCTGATGCGCTGTGAAGGTTTGCAACGTAAAATGGAGCATGGACTGAGGGTTCAAATACCAATCGTGTCAACGGCACTGCAAAATGCAATCACCTCAGGACACTGTCTACATGATGTGCAAGACTGCATCCTGCAAGGTTACTGAGCTGCATGTCATCATATATTCAATCCTTTGATGATCATCAGCAAAATAGTTTGATGGAGAGATGCATGTCGCAGGATAAGTACACTTTCCTTTTTGAAGACAGCAGATAAGCCAAAGGTTGGCACTTCGGCAATGTTAGCAGTTCCACAATTCAGCTAATTAGAGATGGTTTGTGAAAGAAACAAAAGATTTGAATGCTGAAATTTTAGCGATTCTTTCAAAAAATATTAGGCACGTTTGGGAACTGAGGCAATGCGGATTTTAGGTTCCATTGATGGATTATGAGCGATGCGCATCCTGTGTTGTTAGCTACAACAGCTTCCTCAATTTTAGGATTCGAAATTTTTTCTTTCTTGATTCCATCAAAGAAAGTTACTCTACCCTCAGGAAAGGTAGCACTAAAAATTTGTTTAATGAGATTCCATCAGTTGGTAAAAAAGAAAGAATGCCTTGAACTTCCTTTCAATATACAAGTAATAATGTAGGAGGTTAAGTCTCTTTCAGTTTCCCTCTGTTGACCTCAATAAAACCAGTAATTACATTCCTTTGAAGAAGAAGAATAAGAAAGGTGAATGAAAAGTTTGAAATGAGCTGTGTGCAAACAAGTCTGAGCAAAGATCACAAAGGGGCATATGTCAAACTGTGCTGTTTAAATTGTCCCATACTACAGTTACTGCAGGAAAGAGGATCGAAGAGATAATTCTGTCTATATTATGTGCCTATATTTATTCATTTCGCATGCCTCTATTTTATCTCAACTTGATACTCTCCAAAGTCTCTAATATGCTTTTTCAACCACGATTCTTTTCCGGTAATCCGTTTTTGATAAGAGATACAGATGTTATCTTTTGAAATTGCTTCATTAGTGAATGTTAAGGAATCGGACATGCAGCTCGCTGAAGCTAACGAGTGGTGGTCATTCTGTTTCGGACGTTCCTTTCAAGTCAAAGTTGTGAACTAAACTATTAAAAAACAATAGTCCGGATTTGATTCCAAATGCTGACGCGACCGAAATGAAGAAAGAGTACGGTTATTGTTGGATAAAATCATGTTATATGTAATTTTTTTAAACCTCAATGATTTGGCGACACTGAAAGAAGCATTAGAAATGGTGAGATTACCTGACTCATCCAGTCTCGTAGTGTATGATCAAACTTGCCAGACTAGCATCTTATGTAGTTTGAATGCGAAATGCTCAAATTATTATGGATTTTACTGCAGTCTCTCAAACCTTATTTTTTTACTTAGCTCTGCCGAAACTAAGAGCTTTGAATGAGAAATAAGCCTTGGAAATCTGTCTGGTACTCTCTGGTTTATGCTTTGAAGTTTTCATGTTCTGCGATCGTAAATATTATCATATTGTATCTGCTGCTGCTCTTAATAATGGTCCTTACAGAAGTGCATTTCCTCCTTGAAAATTAGAATCTCTAAAGTCAATCTTGAAAAAGTCCAAATTAAAATTAGGATTTTCAAAATTTGAAGAAAGCAAGAAAGAAAAGTGAGAGATGATTGTGAGAAAGACTGCCTGAAATGCTTCTGAATCATCGTTGTTCATGAAGTCATTCAAATGTGATAGATTTATCTCGGTAGTTTCAATCAATCTTTTAAGTTCATAAAAACTAGAAAGTTCATTGAGTTTTGAGTTGTTACATTTATATATTAGCAATAATCTCTAATATTTCATTTCCTTTCCAGCCTTTGAAACTTCAGCTGGTGACTTTAATTGCCCGGTATAGTTGCTAAACATCAGAAAAAGGTGTGAGGAATTTAGATTTTGCAACACAAAGTCAGAAGGCCATTAAGAAACGAAGAAACGATCCTAATCAACTCTTCTTACTGCATTTGAAGTGTTAATTGACGTAATGCGGATCACACTTCCGCAGCTTCGCCCTCAATCATCTTGGCAGGGGGTCGATTGAGAGAGCTGAGGAACAACCTGATGTAAGATGTCAACAAGTCATCCATTTTGTATCCCTGCAAGCACAATTCAGCAGTGTGGAAACATGAAAATTAGTAACAATTTTGAAGTATTTCAATTCTTCCGACAGCGTTTGTCGGAAGACAGACCACTCTGAGATTTGATGCCGGAATTTGTTGCATTTGTCATGGTGATCGCTTGGATCGACAGGAAAAGGCATTCGTCTCTTGGAGGGGCTTCCGGATCATCGAAAGACTTACCAGCGATGTTTCCAGAAGCAGTCGAGTACCTCGACCGCCCTTCAATAAACTTCCGATAGTCATATGAAAATAGGTATTGCCACTGTTCCAGTTGCTCAACATTGTGAATGGGTAATGGATGATAGGTTGTTTCGTTGAGGGGTTATATAAGTGGACACCTGTCTTGTTGATTGCTATCAGTAACTTGTCCGGAATTGCTGAATCCGATGACTGCTTTACCTGAACAATTGATTCACTTTAAAAATACTGCCTTTCCTTAAGAACCTATGATAAATTAAGACAACTTACGTTATCTCTATTATATCGACAAAAGAGCGTGGAATCTCGGATACTATTTTCTGAACTTAAATCCTAAGAAATTATGTTTTCAAGCAGATACTTCAAAGAACGTAGAACTGAAGGTAGGCCATTCAGCGATCGTTTTCAGGAAATGTATTTTAGCTTCGTTTGACGGCATATTCTCATAACGTCCAACATACGCACTCGTTATGTGCTTGAAAAGAACCAATACCGTTAATTAGACTAAAAACAACATTAATAATAATGATAACAATAACAAGGCCCATCTCGATTAGTGCGCAAAGTTCGACAGGAAAAGCGATGGAGACAATTCGAGAACGCAAAATTCTGAATGTAACTTACAATTGCTCTAACTCAAACAATAATCTACAAAAACCTAGCCGTACTTTTTTCCAGTCGACACCACTGTACGTCTTGATCATGTCACGCGGCACAATATCCGAGATGATTTGCGCCAAATGCGACAGTGGTGCCGCTTTATCATCGCGAGTTCGGGCACGAAGTATTATGGCTGCCAATTCCACTGCTTGCTGCCTAGTGACCGCATGATAACCGCGTAAATACTTGGGCAGTTCCTGAACATAATTAATTAATGTGAAGAGGAGCGTTCGTCTAAAGATCAATTTTCGAACGAAAATACGAAAACTTTAACTTTTAGCAATCATTTCTACGAACTGATCTCATCTGTTCCGTCTTTCTCAAAGTATCTGAATGTCTGCGAATCATTAGTAAATAATTAAAAACAATGCTTTAGAAACGTTATCTACTTTGGAATAATGTCTAAAATATATAAGAATAGTAATATCAAATTTGTAGCATATGTAATCCAACAAAATTTAATAACCTGAGGATAGTGGAAAATAAGGTCAGCAATACGATCTTCTCCGGGTATTGTATTAATCCACAGCTTTTTCATAAAGAAAAGTTGGTAGGAAAAGTTGAATATTGTTTCATTTTTGGGATGCATCCATTCGAACAATTGGCGCAGGAAGTCGAAGAAGAATTCATTATCCGGAATTGAGATCACTGAAGAATGAATGGTAATTAATTGAGGTTCTTTTCGCAAACTATACCAAATGTTCCATTACCTTTACTATTGACTTTTACAAACAAAGCAAATCCATCCACGGAGTTGAGGCCCAGACGTGTTGCAATTCGGTGACAGAAATCCCGAGCTTTCGTTGTCGAATCCACTTCGATAATCTCATCTGAATTGTCGGGAAAGAAAGCCTTGTGGAATATTTGCACAGTTCGCTGTCGCACTGCTTCCACTTCCACATCATGCGGCGGAAATTTCCGACGTCCACTCCTAAGACCTTATTCAGTTGGATAAAGAAGGAAAAAGGGGAACTGAAGGAAACAATTCCTTGTCCTTTCTTCTCTTAGAAAGCTGTACCGTTGAATTCGTCGAAGTCTTATGAGAGAGTGCAGCGCCAAGGAATGCTGTCTGGTGCGGAGGAACAACTCCACCTCTTTGAGGAGTGACTGACTTGGAGGGAATATACCGGTACATAGCCACATTAGCTCCCATCCGCGCTCCGCACTCACCGGATTGTGGTTCCAAGTTAGCTGTTTCATCAACTGGCAGTACACCTCGTCTCGGATGATTTCCTGCAAAGCTATCAGTTAGCAATGAACTGTTCAATGCTGAATGTTTCAAAAACTGCTTTTGATTTTAAGAGAAACGAACGTATTTGAATGCTCCTTTGAAAACTTCATCGGTAAGCTCAGTGATGGTTGCAATGCGTCGGCACGGATAATCCCCCATATATTTTAAGATTGCTAAATAGCCCTTAACTGCTGCTTCCGATGGTTCTCTTTTTCCTTGCAGTTTCTGCAAAACTTCTAATGTGCAATCTTAAAGAGAGATGGTGGCACTCTCGGTGAAAATTTGAGAGATACCTTGGAAACTTTTCAACGATACAGGATAATTACAAAGGATATAAACCTTTAATAAAGGCATCTTTATTGGCTCGCGACTATAAGACCATAGACTATACGTCACATAATGCTCATAGAAACTTTCACTTAGGCCTTGTGGTGGTCGTGGTGCTGGTCTGCAATTATTATTTCGTACTCTTGTGTGATTTCTGACAAAAAGGTCACTTTAGCAGAAATACCTTCCTGCCAATCAGCTTTTAGTGTTCTGAATCGGGATCATTTCAAAATCCTATAATATTCAGTATTTAAAAGTGAGTGTATGAAAAAGCAAAATGTCACCTGAAATTATCAGTAGCGAAACGTTCCAGCGTATGCTCGCGATTAACTGTAAAATGATGTGCCAACAGTGACATCTGTCGATTGATGATAGGACAGTCGAGTTCCTGGGAATGTGAAAGCGTATCCTGAATGGGAGTTCAATGGCAATATCAACATTTGCAATGGGCTAAATTGTACCTCATTTGATCGATATAGGCTATTCTTATTGTTTCCGATAAAGGTCATCAAGACCTGTTAGCTTCGTGGTGAACCTTTCTCCTTGAAACATTTACACTGTACCATAAATTTCCCCGACTCGAGGTGATACAAGTTTCAATGAGATAAAATAAATTAGCTTTTGATATTGTTGACATTTGAGTGAATCACAACTGACCATTATCTCCATAGACGGCTTACATATTGTTGGAAGGACATGGACCAGATCAACAGGTATCATGCCTTGACTACCGGTTCTCATATTTTCTCCTTTAACAAACTGATTATTGCGGAGCGATGCTCCGCAGTATTCATCATTCAAAAATAATAAATCACCCTTTTTGAAATTCAAACAGGTGTTCCACTTCTCATAACCTAAAAAGATATAGTTTGATGAGTAATAATTCCATGTTCGAGACTTATTCAGCCTGTAGTATCATGATAAATTAACGGAGAAGATATTCTGTGGATCGGAGAGTGCGGCATTGAATTTTGTACATGGCCCGCTCATGGGGATTAAATCATTGATCAAAATGATAAAAATTTTACCTTCGTTGGAGAAACAATCTTGAAGGGCCAAAAGATATTTTGACCTATTCCTTAATTCATTCAGGAAAAATTCAACAAGTTCCTTGACATCCTTTGTATTTGGCGACTCAAAGCAGTGTTCCTCACCACCAACCACTTCAATTGTAAACATTTCGATACCACTTCTATTGTTTCTGAATATTTCAGAAAGTAAAATTTCCCAGAAAAAAACATCCGATTTATGTTGTGGCACGAGTGCAAATGATGTAAAGGGACAGAAGCTCCCGGAAATGAAGTTTAGTAAAAGGTCACTTCAAAACTATGATTCTTGTTCGATTTTAGCATAACTGTGAACTGAATAAAGAAAGCGAAGTGGGGAGATTGAGAATTGTCTCGGTAGAGCTATCGGTAAGATAAGCCCAATCTTTTCTAATCAAAGATTTTGAAAATTTGACTTACGTCACAGATAAAATTCGTGAAATTTGTGGATAAGTAAGTTGCAGAATAACGTCGTCATGAGCATCGATCACAACAACTCCTTGCCAATTCACAGCAATCATCAACTAAGCAAATTTTGAACATTGTAATACTTCAATATTAATTTTCTTAAACACTAGCTCCAAAAATACTAATGCTATTGAGAAGTTAATTGCACAAACAGTAATGTTACCTGACCATCGGGAAAAGAAGAGCTGGCACAAGTAAATGCTTCAAAATATCTGGAAAAAAGGAGTGGCCACTTTTGTTTAGCAAATATGACCACATCTGCTTTCACTCGCTCCGTCGCTGGATGGTTTCGTTGGAATTTCTACAACAAACTCCACTTCCTATTTCAAAGCCATATCCATGAGCAAATGATTTATAGTGGGTTATGAATGGGCGTGACGGTGAAATCAGCTATAATGAGAGAACGGTGTTCTGTTGGATACCTTTCTGAAGGCATGAAGTACGAGATGCAGCCATCGCTCGTGATTCTTCTCGTCCGCATCCCGAAGGTCGTCCTCCGGAAGATACATAACCAAGCTGTTTTCCAGCTTCGTTATATTCATAGCGCTGTCCTCGTAATCAACATAATACTGTTGGGCAGCGAGCACTGCCACTTCTTCCTCCTTATTTGTGAACAGAGGTATTAATTATGAAGGAACAACGGTTATGCAACCCAACCCCACAATCATCAATGAGTCCTGAACTGTCCTCTCACATTTGGCTTTTGTTTGGATCTGCTCATTTATGTGAGCAGAGCGTTATCTTCTGTGTAACCAATCTTATCAGTAGCTTTTTTTAACGACAATGAGATGAAATTAACGGCAAGCTAGGAACTAGGAAACTGACCTTAGTAGTGCGATACTCGCCGTACTTAACACCTCGGATGATCTGGTGATAAATGAGATTGGTGCTTACAGAATCAGTGCTAAAAATTTATTTTATATATTTCGGGCAAAATTCAAAAACTTTGTCCATAGGATTCTCACCTTATTCTCTAATCTGACAATACACTTGAAAAACTGAAATTGAAAAGAGAGCGCGAATTACTGCGATAAATGTAAGAGTAAGAGATGCTCGTTGAGGGAATTGTTAGGAATTTGTTACGGTGCGTAGGTGTGCGGTGTTTTTAACACATTACTAATATAACCTCGGTACCTCGGATCATGCCACGGACTGAAAATTTCTTTCCTGTAGAAGAAACGCCATGACGGATTCACCGATTCCTCTGCTGCTTCTGTTACATACTGTTCGCACTGACTTATCGCATCCATAATGTGATCCGTTCCGCAACCGAGCGAAATTACCTGTAAAAACAAAAGTGAGATGAAAAAACTGGCAAACTGAATGAAATGGCACTAATATGGTAGCAATAAGCAAAACATAAAATAATTTTTAAATAAATATTCAGTGATTGGAATTACATTGGATTGATTCGTTGCTGTAAGAGATTAAACTGATAAGCTGTAAAAGATAGAAAGATACTTTATCAAAGTATGCGATATAAAGAGAGAATCCAAAGGAGTCCTTCAGTGCGATGCTATCGGCAAGTTCATCGCAGATCTCCCGCGATGTTGTCGCCGAGTCCGCACTTACCGTTACCACAGTGCCATCCATGAATGTAATATGGATTGAAATCGGTTCCTTCCTCTTTGACGCCTGAAAACACTGAATAAGAAGAAAATTTTTTCAAAGTAAGTCTTATCTCAATGTGGCGTAAAACTGTATTTTCATTAATTAATAATTCTTTAAGATAAAAAATGAAAACTTGTAAATTCAAATTACATTTTTCAATGTTTTCGAGTGTTTAAACTGGAAAATTTGTTCTAAAATTTGACTGCAAAAGCGAATTTCAATGTTTGCTTTTTCAACTTTTCAAAAAGTGAAGTTGAACTCTTTGTAGATAGCAGTTAACAGTGATTAACGACGGAGTTTTATGCTAAAGCAGTATTGTCCCAGAGAAAAGTCGAAAATAACCTGTATCTCTACGGAGTTAGGAGGGTAATTGCGTGTTCCGTTTGCTAATGTTCGTTTCAATTTCCTTTCTATATATTCCCCAAAACATCTCGTGGGACAGGTTTGGCGTATGAAGCATTTTAAATAGGGCAGGAAACAGTCCGTGGGAACAAAGCAACCCAAACACAACGACAGCAATATCCAACCACGAGCGCATGAATTTCCCGACGGGTTTCTCGTCAGTTGCTTGCATATTTGGCAGTATATTTCGTCTCTGTAAGATCGCTTCGTTTGTTATCGTTTATCGGACAGAACTTTGCCCTTGCTTATTGATCAACCGCTTATATTATCAGCTTAATTCTATGCTAAACTGTTTCCATTTTCTTATTAATTTTTCAGAAATTCGAAACGATGGAGGGATGTATCAAATAATCATTTAGGTGCGTAAGAATGTGTCAAAACTGATAATATATCAGACTCAATTCTCGATTCAAATTCCTACCTTATATGTGGCCGTAAAATACCATGCCCAATGATGAATTGCAATTTCTCCTGGCTAGACGGTACATCCTCATTCAGGAACGCACTGTAAAACTGCTGATAGCTGCCATATTCAGTGACGTTTTTCGTATGCATTCCGGGTGCGTCGGATGCATCGATGTGTGGCACGACACCATTCTGCTGAGGAAAAAGCAGCTCCATGCTTGAAGAAAGGTGTTTTCTCCAACTGAATGGCTAGAAAAAGGAGCAGTCTGATAGAGTGGCGTCAAAGAAACACAAATATTTTACTTGAATATACTGAGGTGAAGCCCGCTTACCTGTTCATAGTCACTTTCACGTTGGTTTCTTCTCTCGAACACGTTCCGACCATTGACCACGTGTAGCTTGCTCATAATAGGTGTATGTTTGATCTTCAATTATGAGATGCATGGAAGGTCTCTTTGATGATTTGAAGAGAAGAAAATGTTTGCTAGCATATCGTAATCATGTCAAAGGGATTAGCAAATGTGTGACAGTGTACACCTGAATATCCCTTGGATAGGAGGGAATAACTGCCAACAAATGAAGCATGAATTGAGTAAATTAATTTCAGCTTCTTCCTGTGTCTCCGTTCTTCAAATGAATTAAACGAACATACGTTTTCAAAATCTTGTGAAGGGTGCGAGGTTCTTCTTGGTTCTGATACGTCTCCCATAAAGCGCTGTATTACCAACCAAATCGCTAATGCTGCCTATAAATTCGAGCTTAGCAATTTAAATATTTATTTTGTGACAAATGACAACAGCATCTTTGCTAAAAAAAGAATTAACCAAATTTGATGTTTATATCTGATAAGTGAATTAATCAATTCCGGTATTAAGAGAGCGGACCGGAATACTGCTCACTTACAGTACGATCCAAGTCGGAATCATGCGGTAATAATGCTGTGCGAAGTGTTTTCCGCGTGTAATGAGCACTGTTTTGCATTTGAAAATATGCTGCTGCAAATTTTTCAAACTGAAAGGCAATCAGATTGTCACCGTTTGCTGTTCCTGATCTATCATTGTTGATTGTCGACCGCAGACAGGAATATTCTCTGGAATTATTTGAAAATTGAGCTCGAGGACAAAGAATCGTGGAACTTTTCACTTAATTTGTCCAGTATAAATGAGCTAAAATCCTTCAAGGTTTTATCTGAGGCTATACAGTTTTGAATTCGATTTTTTAATTGGAATATATTCTCTATTAATTGAAGTATTACATTTCACTTTGTCGTTGCTTCTCAGTTTGAATAACATTACAATGGGAGATGCTATTGGATGATGAATGATCAAATATGCGTTCTATCTGAAATTAATAAAAAATATGACACGAAATTTTATTAGCCTTCAAAAATTTAATAAATACTGCAGACAAGAAGCAACCAGAGGAATATCGTAACCATCCATGCTTGTGGAGGTTGAAGTGACACTGCTCGCACGACTCAGCATATCATCCGATATCATCATTGCAGGGAACCGTTGACCGCGCTCGATTTTGCGCCGAAGTGTATTCCGAATCAGTGCACCCCGGCAACGAGCCGGAAAATGATTCATCAATTTTTTTCTTACATGTTTCAGTTTACAATATTGAAAGTAAGAGGGCGAATAATCTGCTGATGATAGAATTAGCAAAGTAATACCACGTCTTTCGCGCTTATTTGATAATTTCGTGAAGAGAAAAAAAATAGGATTGCACATATCAGTCCATAAAACGCAATTAAAAAGAAAATCATGGCTAAAATATAAAATTATGTCAAGCCAATCTTTTTTACTTCTTTTGATAAGTGATAAACTGAGGAAACCTGAAATTGTGTTATGATAGCTCGAAACAGCTTGTAATGCAAGACAATTTGTCTTGAACGAAGGATAGTTTGAAGTCTCGTAAATCCGATTTGTATCTGAAAAGTTTATTTCTATCCTCAACTTTCCTGTCAACAAATATTCACAGTTGTAACTCTACACTCCGTAACTTGTAATCATATCAGCAGTTTGAGACTAAAAACTTCTTAAACTGAAAAAAATTCAGTGAACCAATTGTCATAGTATTAAATATTATCTATGTATCCATTAATTACATAACGAGAAATTAATTTCAAATTTGATGTAAGTTGATAAATTCCGAATCAAAAAATACCTGACGATATCGCTGACGCTGCATATAACCTCGCCAGTATTTTTCGATGATAATAGCGGCAGCTTTCATTTGTTTGAATTGTGTTCGATGAATCCATCCACGAACGGTCTTCTGAATCGTTGTTATACGCAATATCAACATACGCTCTTGTTCCTGAACTATGGGTTATCAGTACTTATATCTTTCAGGCTTCAATCATCTGGAACATGTCGGAACAATCAAAACCTCTCTAGCTAAGTGACAATTGTTTCCGTTTCAGCATTTTGTCATCCAGTAAAGGATCATTTTAACTTTTCTCTTGCAACTACCTGTTGTAGTAGCAAATGCTGGGCTTCCTTCAAGAATATCATCGTTTTCCCCAGCCTAATATCAGCTCGTGGCCCCAAAACAATATCACAAATTCGTCGTGATGCCGCACGACAATTTGTTGTATGTGGTGGGCCTAAACACTATTTTTATTGCAAAATGATATAAGGCTCATTCAAGTTTATTCCAAAAGATAATTTTGGTTTTAAAATTTATTCGATATCCGAATTGAATCTTTATGATTTTTCAAGTCATGAAATTTGTGGCCCCAAAAGAAAGATACAAATTAAAATTTTTGGAACCTGGATGACTAGCACTGGGAAGAATGAAAATCTCACCAATACCATCGACAAGTAATCGGTAACGTTCCACAAAATGTTCGTACTGGTATCTGACAGGATAACCTGATTTTCGGATCCTTACCATTTCCAGCAAACTCATATAATGCATTTGTTTGTAAACGACTTCACGCTCCATGAACTTTAATTATGGCTCTTTGATACAGCGAAGAAAAAGGTCAGTCTTTGTTAAGCTTATTAAGAGATTTAATTTAGATTTAGTTGTACAGACTCAACGAATCTTTAGTGCACTCGAAGGATCTCTTCTGTATCTCCTGAATTGGTGTTTTGTAAGTGAGCGTGAAATGAAATACGCTTCGCACTCCATCACAGAATATATCTTACAAAATTTCTCGAGGATTAGGGAAATGACTTGACTTAAGGTTGTTTTTCTCGAAAAACTCAGCAAAATAAGAAAGTCCAAAAAGCTGACTTTTTTGCGAAGCCCCTGGACAGGCGGAGGGTTAAAATTCATGGAGGAAGTTGGAGGAATCAAAAAAAATGTGCATTTTTTTAGAAATTAAAGAAAGGAACAAGCAGTTTCCAAAGTGATTAAAAAATCAAGGACAGAACGACATTTGGGAAATTATCTTCTTCGGAAGTTGAAAATTTTTGTATATATGAGTCAGTTAGCTCGGATTGCTCGAATTGACGAAATTAATTGTAAATTTACCAATGGTCGTTTAATCGTATTTGGTACGATGCAATTTATGAAGAAGGGTTCTTTCTGCTCCAAACTTGCCACCAAATTCTCCAGTGATTTCCTGAAATGGCTGGCAACCGTGGGATGTTTGTTCCGCATCACCGACATATCGTCGTAGTCGTAAACATCATCAAAGAGCAGTCTAAGAAGTCGAAATTCACTCCCGTGTAGAAGCTCAAGTAAATCAGAGGAAAACTTGTCGCGGTTTTTGTCGATAAAGCCTGGAAACCAAAAGCTTTTTTTTTTCATTTGCATTAACTGAAAAAATTGAAACTGATTTAACTGCAACACTGTCTCGCAACTTGCGCAATTGCAGCTGAAATTGTTCATACCTCAGGTAATGACAATAAGGTAATAGATGCCATGATTAGAGTAAATTGGTTAGGCTAACATCTGACTGTCACTTTCGAAGACAGTCTCTCTATCTATCCTTATGAATAAACAAAAAATATGAAAGATAAGAAAACCTTTGGAATGATAAAAAACAGTCCCAGCATAATGAGCTATGCCAAATGATTTGTCCAAATCAGACTGAGGCCTAAAATAAAGTCCTTCTTTGCTCTCATGATGAATGTGCAATTTTTTGAGCATACTTTGATCAGTACCCTGAAAAGTTAAAAAGAATTCTTGCTATTCGTTTCGGCTGCTATGTCATATTTATTCAGCTAATTAGCATACAAACCTTTAGAAGAACGCTTTCTTCATCCATAATTGACATAATACTCGTTGGTCCCAATGCAACCAAATCCAAAATTTCCTTATCACTCGCAACTTCGATCGGCCCCCAACTTATCTGTTCCAAATCGTAGGCACTGAAAAGTTACGCTCTATGCAATTCAGTTAGTGGATGAACGAATTTCAGAATATTTCACCGTTTACTAAGGAAATTTTTTTACTTAATTACTTTTTGTCAAATAGGTGACAATAGAATGGTGAGAAAGGTGTTCTCGCCTGTTAAAAGGAAGAAGAATGAAAGGAAGCAAAAGTTGGATGATGCGCAAAGAGATATCTTCCGTTCGCTAATTTTCCCTGTGCTCAATATCATGATCATATGGAGATCGCGTTAGCTACAACGGATCGAATCAATCACTGGACTGGTTTTCATGCGATCGAGAAAGATTACTCGAAAGAGATCAGGGTGGCATTCAAGACGAGTGTTGTTGATCACTTCACACTCTATCACTTACTCACGTTACTCAATAAAATACGTATACATATACACGCCATTTATTTTACTTTTTAATATAAGTTTTATTATCTGTCCTACTGGAAGCACAATACTAGCGAACATCTACACAATACGTGTAAATTACGTGTGCCTGGCCATGAAACATAGAAGATGTATGGAAGTTGTCGAGTATTTATGGTCTGATTGGCTGTGACTGAGGGAAGTGATCAAAATTTCTCTCTCATGTTTTTGTTGAACATGGATTCTTATACTCTACAAAATCATCAGAGATTCAAAAAATCAATATTGTATCAAATCTACTACTCTAACCGTCAAAGTGAGAGACATCAGAGTGGTCAAGTTTAAGCAGATGAAGCTGAAGCTTTTTGAGGCCAGAAAAACAAACAAGTTCTTTATCGGTTAATCAGTAAAGTATTTTATATGAGTACGTGTTAATGTGAGGGAAGAAGTCAATCATTCTGCAAGTATTCTTTCAAATGGGATTCACACTGCAAAAGTGATACGAAAAGCTGTGTGCGTAAACATGCGATCACAAGTGATGACCGCGCCGCAAAGAGCAAGTTCTCTTTGATTTTATTTGCCTCCTCATTGCTAAATCACAAAATAACTACTTACTTT